GCCCACATCCCCAGCCCCATACCCCCACCCCCCCAAAAAAAATAAAAGGTTTTTAGTCTTACTGGATAACGGTGTTTCATTCAGCTTCCTTCCCTGGTGTTCCAACCCCTTCTGAGTTGCGATACAGTTGGTACTGTGATACAGTTGAAGGTATAAACTGCGTACCACAGAAAATTGACAACTAATAGATGCGGATGGTAAATAACCTACAACCAATCGTAGTAATTAAAGCTGAGAAGTGAAATCTCTTTATTGATATGTAATAAAATGCCACATGAATGGTCTTAAAGTTGTAAGATCCATCCTTTACTTAAGGAGCTGAAGTGGGTATCAGCATAATTTGAGTTGGAACAACTGATAAAGGTATCGCAAGAGAAGAGATTGTACAGGGGAAGAACAAAAAAAGAAGTCAACACCACAGCTTTAAAAAAAAACAACCAAATTGTGCTGGTTACTTTTTTAAAAAGCTGTTAATTTTTATCCTTTGCCTTGTCAGTTCCCAAACAGTACCTTGTAGCAACCCAAATAGATAGTTCAAATGGAGCAGCCCAAATAATTTGCAGGGCAATAGCTATGTCAATTACATCACCTAGAATCTGTCCAACTACGTTTGACATTAACTTCCTGCATAGAAAAGGGAATGTGTCACAGATTTATTGGTGACTCTGCTCCGTATTAGCTTTGTGATCCAAGTGTTAATATCTTTGTGTACATGAGCAAGTGTCTTTAGGACGTGAATAGTAAAGGGGCAGGGGAACAGAACTGCCATATGAAATACACTTAATGTTTTACTAGATACCAGCTATGTGATCTCCTTTGATGCCCTAGAAACAAAAAGTGCTGCCTGACACTATTGTAATATTTCCTTGTGCTGGCAGATCTGATTTGGTAAACATTCATTGCCATTTTGCATTGTAGATGCTATTTTTGAAACTAAGCCTGTTGGGCATGAATTTTTTTGACCGTTTGTGTCCCAGACTCCTGTTTTTACGAAGTCCCAGGCAAACAGGCAGCAAAGCAGATTTTGCAGTTCACAGCAGAGACAGTGCATGAGTAAAATGAGTTTAGTAAATGGCATGAGAATAACGTAAAAGAGAAGACCCACTGTGAATAGTAGGGGTAAATCAATGCTACTTTTGAAAATTACATATGTCGCTGCACATATTTCAATGCTTAATTTTTATTCTTTTAGAACTTGGTTTTCTGGAGCCAGAAGCATACTGAAGTAGAAACAGTGGATCTTGTCTTAAAGTTAAAGAATAAACTGGTAAGTAGCTGAACTGAACGTGGCTCAAATTTGCCTGACTTAACTAGATAAAAGTTTATAGTTGTGTTGACAGGTACTTAAATGAAAATACTGCTTAAGATCTAGGTCGTGAAGGAATCACTCATTCAGGTTTTAGAACAAAACCAGTTCATTTCAGCCATGACTGAAGAGTTAAGTAACTTGCCAACGTTGTCCAGCTCTGTTGAAAGCATGGCACTGATCCTGTTCTTTCAAAACTGGTTGGAACCCTGTGACTGATCTGAGTGGCAGCAAGGCTGAATCCACAGGGAAGCAGAAAACCACACTTCTGTGTGACTCTGCAAGTCCAAATCAGCGTTAGCTCTCACTGTCGCCTGGTTGTTGAGGAAACCTACCATTGTCCAAATTCCTACTCAGTCGCCAAATGAGGAATTAATTTTCCAGACTCAGTAATTATGTCACTTGGGTGTGTCCTAAGGTAAACGTGCATTTTTGTAGAAATCATGTTTGACTGTGCCTTTGCAGTTGCAGGCTGACAGAGAACAGCTTCCTGTGAAAGCTGACACACTGAAGAAGCTGCAGATACACATCCATGATATTATACTGGCGCTTCCAGATGACTTACAGGACATCCTGCTCAAAACTGGCACGACATGATTTCTACTGGGGTTTTTTGCGCAGGAAAAAAAGGGCAAATGTAGTTTCTCAGAAGGCAGTGGCTTCCCAACTTCAGACACAGCTCTAAATAGTGTATTAACACTACAAATGGACTGTGCTAACAGTATAGCCTGCTTTTTTTTCCACTTACGTACCAATGCAGCTAAAGGAGTTCCTGTGTCTAATAATGTTTCAAATAAGTGCTCTTAAAGAAAAATTTGTGGGCCTATGCAGCTATACCAGAGCGTAGGACCCCACGGTGCAGTGCTGGCATTGCAGAATGTTTTCCAATTGGTGCTGCTATACCCAATCCCGCTAACTCAGGGTAAGCAATATTGATCCTGTCCTGTCCATGTAGTATCTGGTTGCTTGGCCTTTTTCTTTTCTTTTTTTTTCTTTTTTTCATCCAGCAATAGGCCCAACTGGCATATTATGTGACTTGGTCAGAATACATTGTAGTTGAGGTATTTTACTGGTAAATCATTGCTCTCAAAATTGTTTCAGGGGCAGCTGAAATAATGAGATCGGTTGTTAACTTTCTTCCTTTCTCCTTCTTACCATCTTTCCAAAACCATGCCAATTTAGCATCTTTAAAGAAGAGAAGGCAGCTGACAAAAATTCCTGAAAAGAAGCCTCCTCCATTCAACGTCAATTGATTAGGGTGCTCTTACTCACATGCCTTAAACATAAAGTGATTGTGTACTAATTGGTGGTTTTAAACTGCTGATATTCAGGATTTAAAGTGCATCACTAGTGTAAATATAAGTATGCAGTGTTCATCACAGGAAATAAACACAGTGGTGTTCTAAATTTGGATTTTAAAATCCATGATTTCAGTAGAGTTAGCTGATATGGCCTGTTTCAGTTGGAGATCAGAGAAGTCAGCTCCTCTTACACATTTTTTTAATTTCAATTTTTTTTTACTTTGCTTATACTATTAGGGCATTTGAGGAGGTAATGGGGCTGGAGAGACTTTTTAGCTTCAACTGAAAAAAGCTTACGGAAAGGTCAAACTGTGGCAAGAAAAGATTGTAGCATGAAATTACTCTCTGTATAAGCATATAGCAGACATGCATAAAGAGTAATTTCCTCTTGCATATTAAGCAACAAAAATGTGACATTTTATATTCTTGAACACGTTTCAGTGGCATATAAGAACTCAGCTGCTCCACATGCAGTGTCGTACTTTGACCAGTTTCAAGTAGAATAAACCTAATGCTACAGTGGACACACAGTATACACTTTTATATGACAAGTGGATCGCAGTTATAAAAAAAAAAATTGCTTTTAAGTGCTTGGATGGAGTTTTAAAAAAACTTATGACATAATCCTGCTATGAGAATATGCTTTTGTATGATAAATATTTCATACCATCTTTCTAAAAATGTCTTAGGTAGATACAAAGTGTCACAACGGTATTTTTATGAAAATATGTTTTTTAATACTGTTATGGTTGGTATACAGTTACTCATGACCAAAAGTTTAATGTATGTTACGTCACTTAAACTACACCACTTCAGCATTAATTTTTAACTTGCAGAGGTTTTTTGCACACCCTGATGAATAGCATTTCTAATCCAGAAAGTAACGAGTGGCCACTGCTATTACTAAATTATCTTAAATATTTAACCTGGAGCACTGTGTAGTTTCTTGGAACCATGTAAACTGGTAACAATGATGATAACCATCACATGACTGCAAATATGTATTTTTGTAAAAGAAAATAAAGGTGTTGATTTTTTTTTTTCTTCCCCCCCCCCTCATTGGCTCTGATGTGACTGACATGATGGGGTGGTTGGGTTTTCCCCACTGCTGTGTAAGCAGAGCTGTTCAGCAGCAGGTAGAGATTGCTGCTCAACCTGACGGGATGGAGCTGTGCCCCTAGGTGACCAGAAATACCTGATGTGAGGGAATGGTGGTGTAGCGTGGTCACGAGTCCTGGCTGTGATATGGTGGAGCTGCAGGAGCCTCAGGAAAGCACATGGCAGGGGCTGGTTTCCAAGCCAGATTTACCCAACCTTCAGTCTATTTCCTGTACCCATCTGAGAGGCCCGTGGGACACATGGTAGTGGGAAGTAGACTGCAAGCAGCACTCAATCCAGGTTTCTTTAATGGAGCTGGTTTAAATCCCATCTTAAACAGAATTAGAATCTTGTTCAAAAGAAGGGCAAAAAGGGAAGTTGTACTGTACTGTTTTGCTGTCTTCGTCAGCAGCTTGTAAGGCTTTCAGTTGAAAAGGGTTGCAAAGGGCCTTCACCTCTAACTGCCAGTGCAGGCAAAATGTAGTCACGGAAGCAGGGGCAGTCCTTCCTCATCACAGGTTTCTGGTCGTGTCCTCCCTCCCTGCAGTCCTTTTACACTCGGCATGCATATTCTGACCAGGGATGCGTCAGCCATTCTTAGTGTTGCAGCAGAGGAATTGTATGAGCTGCAGAAAGTAGTTCACAGGTTGGTGAGCTGGAATTTTCCCACCTCTGGTTTGGTTTTGTTTTTAACTCAGTGTGCTTAACGTAGAGGTGAAGAGCATGCATCACCACACCCTCGTTCATCTGAGGCTTGGCAGGTAAAGGACAGTGCTAAAACCCTACTAGTTTCAGTAACTGCCTTGGCCTTCATCTGACTTCTAAGAAAGAATATGCATATATACATGTACACACACACATTGTTTGGACCAGGATGGGAAGAGGTCTGTAAGTGAAGGAGAGGATTAGAAAAGAGGTAGCAGGTGTTCAGTAAAGAAACGCTGAAGGTGAAAGGCCGCAGTTGGGTCACCAGAAGCAGCTAAGACTGCCTCAGTAGTGAGAGCTAACTGGATGTGCATCAGCTTTGGAACTTGTCAGATTTTAAACACAGTAAAACCAATGCCAAGAATAAAAACACGAGCTACAGTGTGGTCACTATGATAAAGGTGCAGCTCCTAGTCCTTTAGCAGTGTTAACATCCATGCCCTGACTGGAGGGGAATGAAGCAGAACTGTGGTGTGAGTAATAGTTATCTGTGATCATACAGAGCAACGGCTTCTGTTCATGTTGAAATGCTGATTATTGACAATGGCATCTGAACCAAATCCTTGTTAGACTATACTCAAACAACTGACATAATGAGGTCATCTGTGAATGACCTCACTTTAGTAAGAATATGCCAGCTTGGAAGTCTAGAAAGTAGTTCATTTCATGAAGAGTCCTTCAGATATTTTGTGTCAGGGAACCTTAACTTTGGTTCAGGGAACCCTAACTTTCCTGGCCAAAAAATAAACACTGTGGGCTCTGCAGTGACAATAGGTAAGGAGTCCAGTTCTAGCCTGCCAGTGCTTGAAAACTGTCCCGAAACCAAAGTCTAATTGCTAATTAGGATCGTGTTAACATCTTGGGCACTAACTGGATTACGTTAAAATATGACTTACTTGAAACCTAAATTTAATAAAAATAAAACTTATTTAAGCCAGGTTTTTGGTTCAGAAGAACATAATTCAAAACTTGTGTAAGGCTCTCAACCTGACACGTAGTAAGAGGACGGTCGAGGCTGAGTCTCGCTCACAGCTGCCTACTGTTGGGATCCAATTCAGGAATCTCGTTCTCAAGACCCCTGAAGTTGTTTAACGGATAATAAGTAAGGAAACAGCTTCTGGCTGAGAAACGTTAGCTGCTGTGTGCTGACCTCGCTTCCAACTAGCCATAGGCTCTACCTCCCTTGGAAGTTTGGGAGCTTTGGGTTGAAGCGTTTCCTTGGCAGAGGGAGCTCGGTCCCTGGGGTGTTCAGTGCAGCCCGTGCTGCCTCCCGCCCCGCCGTGGGGTTTTACAGCGGCTGGTTGCGGAATCGAGGGCACCTCTCGGGAAAGGGCACGTTTCTAACCACGCGTGGCTCGTTTCACTTTTGTTCCCACGTTACTT